CAATTACACATCATCAGCAATTTCCTGTTTTCAGTTCTTGTAGCCTGAGATAAAGTATTCTGCTAAACGCTGTCCTGGAAGAGGAACTGGCAGAAAGAAGCTAAAGCTGACAGATATTAGCAGACATTCAGTATCTCTTGCCTATAGTAATTTCTTCCATGCTACATGAGATGTCTCAGGGAAGAGAGGCTGACATAAACGTGCGTGCCACATGATGACAGGAGAGGCAAAAGAAACCAGTCTGTCCCAACAGAATACCACCTTCATGCTTTGAAAAGTTCACTTTCAGTAAAAACTCATTTTTCCTCACTACTCTAACAGTTGGCTACCTTGAGCTAGAGAGTTTAACAGAGCGTGCTTGTTTCCCAGATGATGCAAAGAACATGTCCGTTACCCTTTTTCTTATTAATTTCCTTAATTGACAACAAGTTATTTTCAATGCTGATTGAACTTCTTCGTGCCAACATTTGACCAAGAAGTTACGTTCCTTATTTAGTGAGGAGTTGGAGTGTCAGTGTGTCTGCTGACACTTTCTAATGAGTATTTCCTCCACTATTTCTACTTATGTTTTGCTGATTTGATACACTGTATGCTGAACAGTCATATCTTCAGAGAAAGACTCAGTCTGACCTGGGTTTGGTTGTTGTGAAGGGCTTGGTCAGGGTTGTTAGCTCAGCTGGATGGAAGGAGTTTGTTTCTGACACACACACTCTGTGAGATTACAGGTGTCATCTGCCAAGGGCTGTGATGAAGGAAGTCCCACAGCTTGAGACATTGTACTTAAGAATATGCGCAGAGTTGGAACAGTCCTGCACCAGCTGTGGGGTGGTCATGCAGCCACCGTGTTATTTTCCACCTCCGGCTGCTGGGTGCAGTCTGCAGAGCAGCACTGGGTTTTTGTATGGTTCTGTTGGATCTTTTTAACGTTATCTAACATTTTGATGGATTCTGATTATGGTATGTTCTACCACATGACATTTACTTTATTGTCTGTGAAACCTGTTAATGTAAAAGTTTGCTGTAGAGTATAAAAGACAGAAAGATTATTTCCTCCTTGGAGAATTTCATAGATGTAGCTCTGATTTTTGATGTTAGACGTATTGCTTTTCTGCAGTCAAGCACTAGAGACTTGAAATTCCACCAAATTCTGTTCCAGTTGTGGAATTTCACCAGAATAGAGTAAGATCAAAAATCCTTTGCCTCCTTAATGCAACAGATTAGAGGCGAATTCTCTGTATGGGTTATCTCTATTTACTCTAATTGAAATATTTCTTGGGTTTTAAGCTTTCTGGGAAAGAAATTAGATCCGTTGCCTCTTTCAGAACAAAGCAGTGATGGAAGCTGAAGGGTGAATAATGATTTTATTCTTTCAGACCCTTCAAGTTTCACTAAGAACATTTTATGAAAGAAGAAACCTTTTATCAAAGAGCTGTACTGATCTTTTTGCATTGTTTTTTTGAGTTGTATTTCTCAGACATCACCGTCTCTAGGCGCTCACACAGAAAAGGTGTAAATTACATTTCACACTTCTGCCCAGGAATGTGGAACCATGTAACCTACCTGTGCCTTTGGTTAAAGAAGCATTACAAAAGAGGACTCTGGACTGGATGGTGTTAGTACACACCAACACTGATTTTTGATATGGCTTATAGTAAATTATTTTACCTCCACACCTTGAATTTTCAATCTAAAATATTAATAACTAACCTCAAAGTATGGTTTCAAAACTTAATTAAAGCTAGGGAGGCACAAATTTATCTTTGGAATGAAAGCTCTACGTGTTTTCCAGTAAATAATCCAAAAGCCCACAAAAGTGCCAATGAGTGAAAATAATTCCTTGGATAATCAGTAACCATCTTCCTACAACCTATGCAAAGGCAGGGATAGTATCTGGGTATCAGGGACAACATATATATTGGCAGTTTGTAGGTATCAACAATTTAAAATAAATTACTGTCATCTTTGGAGGGATGGGTGTTGATGCTGCTTGAAATGCAGTAGGTAGCAGTCACACAGTGCCATGCCAGCTGTGTGGGTAACCTAGAAATTAATAACTTCTGCTGCTTCATTGTTTTGATCACGACTGCTTTTCTATTTTATGTCAAGGATGCTGTAGAAACTCCTTTACCAACAAGTTGTGTTTTTTTCTTGCTGGTTCCAGATGTTTACAGGAAAGATACACTGCACTATCTAGGTTTCTCCTGTGGTTGATCCCTGGCACACAGCCTTTCTGATTGTTTGCATGGCTTAACTAGTGATACAGCAGTACTGCTGCATTGTAATTCAGAGAGTTTTGGGAAACAAAAAGAGAAATGAGGACCAGTATCACTGCACTGCAAGCTGAAATAATAACTGAATTCTGAGTATTAATTTCAGTATTCAGAGCTGTGGTGTACTTAAGAAAAAATTAAGGCTTCTTTGGCACTAGAGTACTGTTGAAGTCTTTGGATGGCACACTGAACAGACCAGGTGTAACTGAGGTGAATTTCATACGTAGGAATAGATACCAGTGTGTCAGGGGTCTCTTTGGGGATAGTTCCAAATGGCAGTAAACTTCTTTTTATTTTTTCTTTTTTTCTTCTCCTTAGCATTTGTTAATTACTGAAGGGAAGAGGTCAAATATGTTTGTGTGTTCAGACTGGAATCTTTTTAAATGTGAAACTTTTGAAGAGGTCACTCCCAAGTAGCACAGCATGACTTATGGATGGAGGAATGGTGTGAGTGTATTAATAAATACAAACTCCAAGCTACAAAACATGGTGTACTTTATGTACATAAGAGTGCAGAAAATTGAAACTCTGAGAAAGCCAAGAAGAAAAGACATGACCCAATGGTTTTGCAGTAGTGATGGGTAAGAGTGAACAGGATTTTTAAAAGAAGCAATTTTTTAAAGGGGTGTCAATAAGGCAGAAACAGGGAGAAAGAAGAAGGACTGAGATAAGTATCAGCTAATTTTGCCAACAGACTGGGATAATTAAGTCACTGTGGAAAGAACAGTTTGGGCATCAGGGAGTCTGTTGTTCCTTTTCTTGCAGTAGAATTGCCGATGTGTTTGCTTTGAAGTTGTGTACGTATATTTATTTAGTCAGGACACATAGCTAACTGACAAGTGAGTGTGTGTGTGCATGCCTAAATGGTTTATTTCAGTTTAAAACTCTATGGTTTGTATCTGAGTAAAGATGAAATTACCATATCTCTCTAGGTCAAATTTCTTGGTTCGTTTCTTTTAAGGGGGCTTTGTAAATACACAGAAACTGTACTATGTCGTGCAGAATGGAATCTGTCCCTCTTGTAAGCCTGCTGGGAAACGATACCCATTGGAAATTATATCTTTTTGTTGATCTTTAGATATTTAGCAAGATTATATGTTACTTTAAATTTGCCCATTCTGTGTGTTTTCTGTTAGACGTATCCTTAAGCAGCTCATTTCACTTTTATAATGTTGTTTTGGCCTTCGTAAGGTTATGCTGTGAAACATTCCTCTATATTATTTACAAACCCAAACACAGGAACATTGAAAGCCCCAAGTGAAGTGTACATGATCGATTTCTCATAATGTAGTGCTGGAAGAAAATGTGCACAAAGTAGTGAAGTATAAATAGCAAAAAGTGATTTTAAAATTATTTTGGTCATTGAAAGCTGACCCTAGTTGTTACAAAGTAGGTTCTGTAATTTTGGCCATTTGAGTCTGTACTTAAGCACCTAAATATAAATGACCTATTCTTCAGAGGTTCTCAGAAGCAAGGGTGGTATCACACAGTGGCAGGATTTGATTAAGGGGTGATGTGCTCTCACCAGCAGGAGAAAAGAAGATTATTTTCCCAGGACTAATCTTTGTGGTCTGGAATGAAGCAAGGTGAGTGTCAGGATACAGGAAGGGGAGCGTGGCTCTGGCTTGGTGTTGATAGGTACCTCAGCAGCTTAAAAATAATGTGTTTCTAGGCCTGGATGTATTTCTCTGCCTCAGAGCTCACTAACGTTTTTGAGTATGAGCATTTGAAGTTGGGTGTGTGAAGTGTGTACTTTGATTCTTAGGCTGAATGAGTTTTCTAGTCACTCTGTGATTTGCGTAAGTACAACCTTTGAAAGTAAAATTCTGTAGCTGTTTGTATTTATTTAATATGTATTTTTATAGTATCTATATATTTAAAAATAACACATACACAGTAATTCGGACATTCCCCATTAGGGGAAAGTACGGTACAAATGCTGACTTTTAGTAAGGATTAGAAAAACTGACTGATTATGGACATTAAAGAAGCATGTTTGGGTGAAGGCTATTAGTGGTTTCTGTTCAGTCTGCAGAGATTTAACAGTTGTGCAGTTATGCCCAAGTCCCTGATAAGTGCTGTGTTCAGTAGTCCTGCAGCCCAAGGAGGAAGAAGAAAATGCTGAGGACACAGAAAAGCACCTCTGTAGAAATGAAGTACTTGGATATTGGTTAAATTCTTACTGGCCAGAGCTGCAGTGCCTGATGCCCAGCCCAGTGATGAGACCCCAGTGAAACCTCCTATCCCCAGTGGCCAGTGTCTTTGCCCCTCACTGAGGCCTGTGAACAGGCTGCATGCTGCAGGTACCTGACTGCTGGCTGCTTACATTCTGCTGGTCTGTAAAGGGTCATTGATTCTTACAGTAAATGGAAGTTACATCTATGCTCAGAGCTGTTTTTGACTCTTAAGCACATACATTCCCAGAAGAGCTGTGATTATAAAACCAGTGATTCGGTTGTACAAGGAATGATCTGCAGCAACTAGGTCAGGCAGTGGCTTCCACAAGCTACTTTATCACTAGTTGCTGTCAAAATATTTGCTATGAAGATAGCATTGAAAATAGGATGGCATTCACAAGAGTTGAGATGAGGTGCTGGAAGGTAAGCAGTGCACTACGCAAGCGTCTCCAATGTTTTCTCAATTCATTGAAAAGCTTAACTTTCACGTTTTGCTCACACACTTTGCCGATGTTTTCTTTAAAAGAAAAAATATACTCTTTTTGTTTTCTAGTTCCTCCAGGAGTGATACAGAATGGAGCTCGAGTTCTGAGTAGAGGAATATTTCCTGGAGCCAGGCCATTGCCAATCAGCCCTATAGGAAGCATGGCTGTTGCAGTAAGGTAAGAGTGGCTCATTGTGAGATCTTTATGGAATAGATTATTATTTTGCAGATAATATACTATTATGCATAAGCTTGGAACATGAGGAAATTTACTGCTTGCTAGTACTTAGAAGATTTTAAATGAAAGAAACCCTTCGCCATCCAAAACTCACTGCCATTCTTTGCAAGATAGTCATGGCATTTCTGTCTTATTTTAAAAAGGTGTGTAAAGAACATCATTTTGTTTTCACTAGCAAGTTGAAGGCAGCTTTCTGTAAGAAGCTCCTCGGGTGGCCTCTTTTTCTTAGTGCAAATGTGTTTTCCTGCCCCCACCCCCTTTAAAGCCAGTTTCCTGATTCTTTTTTCTGGGATTAAATACCTGTAGCTGTTATTTTGTTATTAATGTAGGTCTTTGTGCTATGGTTTCTTTCATTACAGATTCTATTTCAAGGTTATACTGAGACATTCAAGGGTAAAATGTTGTTTGAAGATCCTCGACTTTTTTTCCAGAAAGCAGGGCACTAAGGGACATCTAGTGATGGCAATAAGAACTGTGGTTCAGTGGCTTGCTTTACTTAAAGTAGTGATGGTTTATTGTTGCACGAACAATTCGCCTCAGGTGTAGCTCCATTTTCTGTCAGTCACAACAGAGAATAATTCCGTCAAGTGTGCTGCCAGTGCTCTTTCAAAACTCACATTAGCGGTAAAAGCCATTCCAGCTCAGGCAGTTGGATATTCTGGGTGGGATTTCATATTCAGTGCTGGCACTGCTTTGCTGGGCTGTTCCAGTTGCACACTGATCTCAGTAAGTGGTTGCAAAGCAGTGAAATGAAGGAGCTTGATAGCTACTTGTTCCATCATTATTTACTTGGGATTTTTTTCATTGCACTTTATTTTTTATCTCTTTTCAGAATTACTGTCTAGCTCTTTGGGGATAGTTTTTACATCCAAAAAAATGAAGAGAGAGAGAGAACCTCAAATATTCATGTAATCTTGATTACTAAAAATGCAGAGAAGGAAAGACACTAACTTTGATGGGTAGCTGCTTCAACTTTTTTTCATATTTGCTATGCTGTAGAGATACAACCCTAGGGGTCATCCCCCAGAAGTCTGCAGTTTCTCTCCATCTCACTTTTCTGCTGTCTGGTCTTGCTAGCAGTAGAGGGCAGCCATCTTTGGTGGCTTTGCTTCTGGCTTTGGCCGGTGCTTGTATTCTGCTGCAGAGGGAACTGCAGAGCTATGGGACTGCTGGATTGTATATTGTATATATACATGTATTTAGGAAGTGCCCAAGCTAAACAGAAGATGCGGTGGTCTGAATATTCTCTGAATATGCAGCTTATCTGCACTTCCAGCTTAGGGCCCTTCCTTAGGAAGAGGAGACTTTCTGTTCCGTAATCAGGGTTAACTTAAGGAGGAGATGGATCTGTTTTTCCATCCGTGACCACTCAAAAACTTCCTTCTATGTAGACATCTCCAAATTACTGTGTTGTAAGGCTGCATATAGTTAACTTTTATTAACATTTCTGAGGACTTCTCTTTGGAGTGGGAGGGGGTCAGGAGGTAGAACAGGACCATCACCAACTACCTGCTAATCTAGATTTGGGAGATAAGAGATTTACCCCTCCCTTGCTTACGTTCTTCTTGCTCTGCCTCACAGAAGACCATTTATAATTTGTTAACGCAGACATATTTCTAATTCTTTTTGTTCTCTTCTATTGCCTTAGGCAATAGTAGAAATAGCTTGCTAGGAATATATTGCTGGTCTGCATGATGTCTGCTCTTCTTTATGAGCTTCTGCAATATATTCTAATTCTTGGGGAAAAAAAAAAGTAGGAGGAAAGCAGGGAAGAGACTGTGAGACATTTGGATAAGTTAAGGGATTCTCTGCAGCAGCGCCAGTTCAGAAGACAGTTTTGTCTTGTGTCTACTGGGAATATTAAGATTCAGAATTTCTTTAGGAAAGTCAGTGTGGATGCATGTACCTCTTAGAACATCATCTGGACCTCTGAAAACTGGATATTTCTGTTACTGTAAAAACAACATCCTGTTTCTTGGTGCTTGTTCCTCTCTTCAGATGTGCACAGCTAAATGGAGCCTGTTGTGCTGAGCTTTTGGGCATCTCATGGAAATCCATACAACTTCTGCTTATTGTGTACAGCAGAGGAAGTTTATCACAGTGTCTGTGCAGCCCTCCTCTGTTGCTGTGAAGAGTGGGAGTACTGCTTATGCGTAGCTGCCTTCCCTGCGTGGAGGGAGTTGCCCTAGTCAAACTGGCAGGATATGTTTTCAGAAATGTCCCCTTCCAGCTTTTTCACCAGCAGCAGGTCTGCTGGGCAGCCTTAGCAAGTGGTGTAGTCTGATTTTCCAGTTAACCTGCAGAAATTGTATCCCTCAACCTATATATTCAGGGAAGACCAGACACCTTTCCAATAAGATTTTACTCAGTTGTGTATTTTCTGGAGAAGAGTTCCTCTGATGTTCTGAGTGAAAAGCCATAAACCAGGTTTCTGTTAATTTAGTTCTTTTACACTGTCCTTTGCCTCACTTAGGTTTCCATTTGTGTCATATGCTGAAGAACGCAGCAAAATGAAAGATAAGTCTATGCAGCTAGATTTGTTACCAAGCAGACCACGTGCAAATAACCTGCAGTATGTTACCCTGGTGTGCAGACTGCCATTACTGTCAAAATAGAGTAACAAGTTTGATCTTGGGTTAAATTTGCAGTTGTAATTAGGCAGAATGTTTTGATGAATCCGTTATTCAGAAGAGAGGCCGAAACCACAGCACAGAGCTAAGAGACATTGAAATCAGCGATTTCTGATACATTAGCTCTCATTAGTTGGAAAGTTAATATGCGATTCTTGCTGTTCTGTCCCTGCACAAGCTATCAATGTGGTGTTGCTCCCATGTAACTACATACAATTACATTACCCTTTATATATAAAACAAAATATGATGGAGTTAAGTAGGATGAATTAAAAAACCCTACTAAAAAGTATTTAGAAGCAAGAAGTCCACCAGTTTCCATAAATAAAGAATATCAGTTGAAGAGGGCATCGTTATGTTGTAGTGCATTTGGCTTAAATTGCACAAATAGGCCTTTCATTCCAAACTAATCTACAAATGCAAAAGGCTTCCCACACTGTTTTTACTTCGAAAATCATCCAGTGGTGTTGAATCTCTACAGCAGAGCATAATTGGTTGTGTTCTGACAGTAGCTTTTTATTTTCTTTATTCACACTTCTTTTAGTTTGTTTATCATCCATATTTTCCATGTTGTAGCTGACAAGTCTAAGACCCACCCAAAGAAAATAAGGTTTTCAAAGCTGTGCAGTGTGTAGCATGTCTCTTACATGAGATCCATCGTATATATTTTTGGCAGACCATATCACATAATGCCCCAAGTGAATCTAAAAGTAAATGCAGTGATACTCTGAATACATAGAAAATAAAATACTGACTTAAAAAGGTATTCAGTGAAAGCAAGCAAAGTAAGTAGTGGCTTACAGGAGCATGGAGTTGACTGTGCTTTGAAGGTGAGCTTTTGCTCTTACTATGTAAAATTCAAAAATATCCCTTAGATGTTTCTCTAGGCGGACTTCTGTAGACACTTCAGTAAGCATAGTCTCTATGAAAATGGCCAATACATCTGCAGCATGCATTGTGGCAAGGTGCAGGAAGCTCTGTCAGATGCAGTCACATTCCGAATTCGTAAGGTGGTACCAATTACACCAACCCTTTGGAAGAGCACGAGCTTGGTAGTGCTGTTTGGACTACAATGCCAGTGCGTTCAGCAGAAACCTCTCACTATGATGTCTGTAAATTGCCTTGGTTTTCTTCAGCACATGCATGGATTGTGTCTGTGCACATCCTTCCCACAGCACAGCAGACCTGCTAAGCCTAAGCCTTCCCTGCCTACAGTGGGCAAATCCCCTGAGGCGAAGTTAGTGGAATTTCACTCCACAGAAAACCTCAACAGCTGCGTGGCACAGACCTTGATGTTTAGTCCAGGTTAGTCTGCAAAAGATGTTTTGCTGAATATCTCTGGCAGTATTTATGTAATAGGCCTTTTTTTTTTGCTTGTTTTCCTCTGCTCTGAATGTTCACTGTTCTACAGAGGCATTTTTAATAGCATTTGGATGGGCTCCCGGGGGACCTGGACTTCATTGCACTCTTGTCTTCGGTACTCATACTGTGTAGTTAGGCTTCCATACTTTTTGGTCAGATTCAGATGCCATCAAAAGCAGGATTGGATTGTGAATTCTTTATTTATAACCTGTTGGTTCTGTATTCTGTCCTAATTCTGCTGATGCTTTTAGCTCCTACTAATTTCCTTTTACTTTTGGAGCTGGTGCTGCATGTGGGCAGTTTGTTGCTAGCCTTGGTCCACGAGGCTTTGCAGTCTGTTCAGTGGCCAAATGGAAACCCTATCCCATATCACTAGCCAGCAAATTCACCTGAGATGCAGGTAAAAAAGAGGGAAGCAGAGGTCACAGATACCTTGGTGGGAAATACTAAGGAGCAGGTAAAACCTTTAGGATTTGGGATGAATTGGGATGCTAAGCAGAGCCATTCCTAATAAAGATGCTGTGGCTGGACTTGGATGGACTCTGTGTTTGTTGTACAATCAGAAATTTTAGGATGGAGTGTAGTTTGCTTAACTTTGCTTAACTGCTGGGTTTTTTTGTTTGTTTGTTTGTTTGTTTTGCTAATATTTCAGCAAGGTGAATCCAAAGAATGTTTCAGGTTGGTTGAAAACTTAGGCCAACCTTTTTTATGTGCCACTTCATGCCTTTTTAACAGATTCAATTACTTTTAGTTGTGTTTGTTAGAAAAAAAAAAAAGGTATTAAATTAGTACAGATTAAAAATAAAAACTGATGAGAAATTATTTATTTCTGTTTTTAAATTCTCTTTTCTCACAAAACATTTCTGACTTCCAAGGAATTTCAGTTATCTGTAAATTGCATGCAGAAATTTACAGGGAATTTCCCAAAGTGAAAAAATTTGCCATTCAGGTTTCCAAGACAATTTCCTAGAGAATGGAAGTACATCCACACTGGTAGAGCTACTGCTTTTCCTTTATTTTGAAATTAAAAAATAATCCAAAACTAATAAAATCACACATACCCAAAAGCAGCATTAAGAAGCTTTAGCTACCTGAGCAGCATTATATTTTAAAATAACTTTTGTTTCTTTTTTAACTCCTAATGCTGCAGTTCCTCTGCTGCTCATCGTCACTGGAGTTTGACAAGAATGGGTGTTGTGCCTAATTTTATTTGAAGAGGCAAGATTGTTATTTATGATTATTTTAACTTGAAATTTGTAGGGCAATTACTACATTATACCTTGAAATCAATTATTTAAGAGTGATTAAATAAATCAAACATAAGTAACATGTGCAGCATAGATGCCAAAGCATTGTAGGATTATATGCTCTCGTGTCTGTACACAGTTACTTCTGCTTAAAGGAACTGGTAGATATTTCCTTTCATAAATTCTTAAGTGGGTATTCTTAATGTTCTTGTGTATTACTGATATGTCCAGCTTAACAAACCCCACGTCATTCTTGTTGGATTGCTTTCCCCTTTTCACCTGCAGCAGGCAGGGTGCTTTATCCTTGTGATGACTGAAGGACCAAAGATGTAGCTGACAGTTATTTCTCCTGCAAAAAGAAGAGGGCTGCATTTGCCTGAACTTCAGACTTGCTGTTGCTGTTGACAAAGTGCTCTTTCTTCCAGCAGTTCGTGATTCATGCTTGTTATGGTTCTTTGCATGCAATTAGTCTGTGAAGTATCTCTGTAAGAGCTTCCATCAGTAGTGTAACTGACTTCTTGTTTTAACTCAGTAGCCCCTGATAGAATCTTGTCATACAGCAAGTGAGCATCACTTATCTTCCATATGCTTGCTTACTGTCCCATCTGCTGGTTTGTAGTGTTTATAAATAACAGTTCAGCTACCTGTATCTAAAACTGACTCTCCTGAATTTTCCTCTGAAATCATATTACCTGTACGGTAAAAGAGTGTGTTAGCAAACCTGGAACCTGACAAAATGCACACATTCAACTTACAGTAGCAAAGTGAATTGTTTTCTTCATATCTTTTAACTGTCTGTTTCCAAAACTCACACTACCTGTCATCCAAAATGTTTAGAGGGATTAAGCTGGTATTTAAACTTTATGTAGGTTTGTTTTGATAAACCAAGGAATATACCTGTCTCTGATGTGGAATACAGTAAGTATTCAGTCAAACTTCTTGCCATGTTGCAGACAGAATGGAGACTTACTACTGCTGCATCCCAAGGAAGACCCCTTTAAAAGGAAGAAGCAGTGACACTGTGCAAAAGCAATTGTTTCATTACTGAATTGAGATCCAGCTCCTGTGGGCTCCATTTTGCTCCTGATGAAATTAGTAACTCATATCAATTTACAAGGGGAATGGAATCAGGCTTTCAAAAAGCCAACTTATCTCTGTGGACCTTGAGGGTTGTGTAATTGTGCTACAGCCAAATTGAAATATTAAAAGAATCAGTGCATGTACTTTGAGGTGTAGAACTGTGGTTAAGAACCCTAAGCAAATAGGAGTCTGTAGGATGAAAAGCTCCAGAGACTGCCCCATGGCCTTTCCTGACAGAGGCAGGCATATATGAGAACGTGTCAGTTTCTGGAAATTTTGAAATGAAGTGCTGAAATAGAAAATGGGGAAATAATAAGGTATTACTTTAAATTTTGCCTCACTGTTATACTAAGCACTTAAATATTTTTTCTTCTTCAGTATAATTTAATACTAATCCAAACATCAGAGTGAGTGCCTGTTTTAAAAAACTATTGTTATTTCAGCGACAAAGTTAGAATTACAGCCAGAATTTTGAGCAAAAATAGATTCAGCTGGCCAAAATCTGTCCCCTGAAGCCTGGGGGAATTCATCTGCTGATGATCTGCATTGAACTTAGTAGATCACCAGATTGATGTGTTAGTGAGTGCGTGAGTGGGTACGAGCACAATATGAAGTTTGACAATGTCTGAGAAGCTTGTGTGGATTATTAATGATTTAGATAATAGTTTATTCAACTCTTATTTATGTACTCATAGCAATTATAACTAATTCTTCCTGTGTTTTGGCCTGTTGCCTATCAGATGAATTTACTTTCAGGCTACGTGAATTTTGACCTGATGAATATCCTAAGTCACTCTGCCTGTATAACTCATTTTCGTCTCTGCAGATAACCCTTGCTACTTCTCTCCTTGACCTTCTTTCTCTTCCTTTTTTATTTCCCCAAGCAGAACTGGTTGGAAATCTTTCAAAATGTAAGTGAAAAATATAAAGATTTTTCTGAGATGCAAATGCTGTCCATTTCCTGACCAGTTCCACCATAGCTCCTTTTCTTTTGAAATGCAGTATTTCCTATATCCTTCCACTTATTTTAAAGTGATTTCTTTTTTGTCCTTTTCTGTCTTTCTTTGCCATCATCCCTGTTTGCAATCATTCCTGTGGGATTCTAACCCCATAGTAGTATACTTTCCCTCAGGACGTTGCTCCTGTAATCCCTGGGCCTTTTCATTCCATTTTTCTGGGTTTTTTTTTAGGGGATTGGGATCTGGAGTATGTCCCTTGGGCAGAGCTTTTGAATTCAAATTAGAGCTCCTTTATGGAAAAGCAAACACTAGACTCAAGAGGGGGCAAGCCAGGGTGGTCTTTTGGCACATGGTTGCTCTGCTCCATGGAACTGTTGTTTTCCTTTTATTGATAATTTCTGAGAAAAAATAGTGGTAAATCTAATAACACAAAAATGGGCATTTCGATTTAAATCCCATCTGTCAGAAGCCTTGTTCACTAGTAACCTAATCCATAAAGATTCCACTTGGGTTCCTACCTATTCTGTCCTGCCTTTTTTCCCTTGGAGCAAGAATTTATTGGTGGTTTTATATGGGGAACTAGGAGCATGTGATGTTTATTGAGCCACATTGCCCTGACTATTAGCTGCCTAATAAAATCAAGTAACTTTAATTTTATGCAAATTTATGATAATTTCGAACATCTTTAAATGTAAATTTATCCTAAAAATGAAGAATCTGTCACTTAAAATGCATCACATGCTTCCTCGTAATGACTGATCTTAAGGAGTTGGTTATAAATTCACCTTTCAACTAGTTTAGTATGGATGATTTCTTCTTTTAAGCATTTGGCATCCTCTAATGACAACCCCTGCAGTGGGAAACCATCACAGAGTAAATGCAGCTGGCTTGCTGCACAGTCATGAATGACATTGCATTTAGTTATTAATAATTGAAGGAGCATTGTGTATTCCTTCTGGGTTTTGTATATAATTTATGGATCATAAAGCTACTTGAAAATCTAAGTGAAAATAATTTTATTGAGCCAAAGTGGCTGCTAATAACTGTGCCTTCTGTTACATATATTTATCTGAAAGTACTGTAAATAAGAACATTTGGAGAGACTGATTAATGCACTGCCTTTTAGCATTGTCCTGTCACTGGTTCTCAGAAGCTGTTTCTTACTTCAGTAAGCTCCACAGATAAGTGAATTGAGATGAATAGGAACTGAGGGATTATATACCTCTCCTGTATTTTCCACCTTTCAACCATACCTATCTAAAATGGATAATGCTCTGTTGTTCATTCTGTAAAGAAAAAAGACCTGTGCAACACTCCCTGAAACCTAGAGCACTTTGCCATTTTTTAAAGCAGAAACAGGACTACCCTGGTCACTGTCACATTTCTTTTAAGAAACACCTGTGTTCAGTGTGCATTTTTAACCAACACAGTCATGACTGTATGAAAGCATTGTGATGATAGCAGGAAGGTGGCAGGACCAGACTTTAAAGTGGTTTATCATGTGACAGATGAAACAGCCTTGCTTGTTTTTGGTTTTTGTTTTTATTGATAGAGGAGTTCAAGGCTGGTGAACTGGCAGGGAAAATGATGATGCCTCTACTCAGGGATGAGCATCCCCCTCTCCTTTTCTAGTGGGAATTAAACACTGCACAGAGGCAATCCCTTCTGCAGCAGACTTGCGAGCATTGTGTTCTCTATTGTGAAGTCATTGATAATGCTATAATGTTTTCCAGTGCAGAAGTAGACACCATTAGTTTTTTAATATATTGTGCTGCCATAGTTCCCACAGCGCTGGGATCTATGTGCCATAAAACCTAAGATGAAAATGAAAATCTCTAAAGCAAAACCAGATTTTTTGGTACTGTTTGTTTTTGAATACATAATATTTTGTTGGCAGTGTTTTACAATCACATTGTTTTTAAGATCCACAAACTGATCACAGTCGGAAATGTGACTGTCAAAAATGTCCCACCTCGGACTGCGCAGATTCCAGCTGAAATCCTCCTACCTGGGAATGGCAGAGCTGAAAAAGAATCTCAGGCAAATGTAGAACACCGGGAAGTTGGTGTCTCTTCCCCACATTTTTAGTAGTGTCATTTGGAAAGGTTGGAGGATATTTATATAACTCATCAGAACTTATTTAAAATCTAGTAAATAAAACTTTCTAATTATTTTTTTAAAACACAGCTCAGGACTGCTCAGACACCACTTCTTACGGCCACCCTCTCTGCTCCTGCCTCTTGTGCTGCTGTGTATCTGTTGCCTTGAAAAATGTGTACAGTCTAATTTGCAAGCAATTGTAAAAAATCAAGGCTTTGAAAGTGGCCTGCCTGGATGTTACTTCAGTAATCGTAGCTTTCGATTATCTGTCAGTTGTTTTCACCTTATTATTTTTTGCACTGAAGCAGGATTACTTCTCTGTGGTTTTTTCAACTACTTCAATTTGCTTTTCCAGGAATGGGATAACAAACTGCCGGATGCGGACGGAAAGCGAACAGTCTTGTGGCTCTCCAGTTGTTAGTGGCGACCCGAAGGAGGATCACAACTACAGCAGTGCCAAATCTTCCAACCACAGGAGCACATCACCTGCGAGTGACTCCGTTTCCTCTTCCTCTGCTGATGACCAGTATGAATTTGCAACTAAAGGTAGCCAAGACAGCAGTGAAGGAAGTGAAGTTAGCTTCCAGAGCCATGAGAGCCATAGTGAAACAGAAGAGGAGGACAAAAAGCAAAATCGGAAGGAGACCAAGGATTCTTTAGCTGACAGTGGGTATGCATCCCAGCACAAGAAAAGGCAACATTTAATGAAGGCGAAAAAAGTACCAAGTGACACACTGCCTCTTAAAAAGAGACGTACTGAAAAGCCCCCTGAGAGTGACGATGAGGAGATGAAAGAAGCAGCAGGATCTCTCCTGCATTTAGCGGGAATTCGATCCTGTTTGAATAACATCACCAATCGGACGGCAAAGGGGCAGAAAGAGCAAAAGGAAACCACAAAAAATTAGAACAAATCAATGATTTGTTTGAACTTACAAAGTTTTGTTTCAGCACGTCAGGTGAATTCTAATGATTTGTGGCAATATCAGCAATTTTTCCTTTTTTGTTTTCCTTTCTATTTGGTTTTATTTCTTTTCTTTTTTTCTTTTTTTCTTTTTTTTTTTTTTTTTGGACCCTTAAGATTTTTATTTTTAAAGGAGATTGAAGCCATAGAACTCATACTGACACTCAGCTAATTTACAGCTTTTCATTACCCGAAGACAAAAAGTTAACAACAAAAAAAAAGCCAAAATCGCCATTGCTTTCTCCGGCTTGTCAAAAAATGCATGGTTGAATACGCAGTGACATCAGCATTGTTGTGATGGGATAAGATTGGGCACTTGAAAATCTCTCTTACACTAGATGAGATTGCATAATTTAGTAGTCATTCAGGCCTAGCCCTTAAGAATTTTTTTAACGGCCTTACAATTGGGATGTGAGTGAATGTGAAGAAAGAGATCTGGGGGAAAGAGAAGGCGTGTACTTCTCACACCAACCCACAGACCATCTGGTGGCACTTGGATTCACCGTGCCATAGAAGTCTTTGGACAGCCACTGGTGGCAACCTCGCATACCGTAATGCACTTCTAGTGCTTCGTGTACTGTATGTGGCTCATAGCGTGAAGACTGGTAACTTTTAAGTTTTGGGAAGTTTGAACTGTGTATGCAATGAGTGAAATAATGAAAAGAAATGGGGGGGGGTGGGGGGTGGCACTGTTAATAGCATTGCTAATCATTGAATTATGTCTTCTATATTAAATTAACTGAATGTTCAAAAAGCCATAAGCCCGAAGATTGGCACTGCGTGCAAAAAATAATAGGATAGGGAAAAACAAGCTATGTCTTCTAAACTGCCTGAGTGAAAAGCAATCAAGTCTAAGAAATTACAGTAGATATTAAAGAAGAAAATAAATCAGAATCCTTTTCTGTGGATCAAATGTTTGATCTAACTGAGGGAAAAAAAGCTACAAAACCTGCCATTAGTATTATTCTGTAATTAAAAAAAAAATAACAGAAAAGCGTATTGATGAACAGTGAAATTAAGTTCAACAGAACATCTCCTACACTGCCCTCAGAAGGGAGCGTTGCAGTTAATATCAGTCAGGATTCATCTGTGCAAAAACAACAGATTTCCAGATTCAACCAGCGTAGCCAGCAGAAAAAAAAAAAAAGATCCACACTGCATGGATTCGTTTTGGAAGTGGGGGGGGAATACAAAAAGCAAACAATTTTTTTTATTCAAAGATGACAAAGTTCTTGTAAGGTAAATAATGTATTTAGCATGAAGCATGAATTATTTTCATATAAATATAGAAAATAGAGAAAAAGGCTATGCCTCTAATTTTTAAGCCCTTAGGCTTAGAGTTTGGTTGGTTTATTTTATTTTTTTGTTTTGTTTTGTTTTTGTTTTGGTTCTTTTTTGTTGTTGGGTTGTTTTTTTGTGGATTTTTTTTTTTTTTTTTTTTTTTTTTTTGAAGCAGGTGTTTAAGGTTTAACCTTCTTCAGGGACAAACACTGACTGTTGGGAAACTTACTCTGCAATATTAAAAAATAAAATCTTCATGCTCTGGTAGGGCTTGGATGGTTGAATTATACTGCCTTGTCTGCACATTCAGCCCCCTCTCCCTACTTCTCTTTAAAAAAAAAAAAAAAAAGAAAAAAAGAAAAAAAAAAGTAAAAGTGTGTCCTTTCTTCGTCTGTACATGTGTAACATGACGCAATAATCTGAGGGCAAGTTTAGTAGTGAGTGTGTATGACAGAATCAAGAGAATAATGGGAGATTAATTGAGGAAAACTCTCTGATTTGATTCAGGAATAAGTAGACAAGAAAATAGCTTTGCTAATTTGCCATGAGAAAATGAAGTTCTTAACAGCCTTACTGAGGTGTCCCAAAAAAAAACCAGTGCAACAGAGGGTGTGATTCAGGTATAGTGCTTCTCTCCTAGCACGGTGATTGTTAGATTGGAGATCCGTGCAGCCAAGGAAGCCGTGAAATAGATAATGCAGTCTCTCTCACCTGGATTCGTCAGTTTGGCATGAAAAAGTTCCATACTTAAAATATCCTAGAGACAAGAAGAAAGTCCCAGGGACTGAAAAACCCTGCCACTAAACAGAATGAAATGGTTTCTGATAGAGAATACCGGTTTATATCTCAAAAACTGTTCCAGTCAGCAGCACCAAGCTGGATCTAATTCCTGAAGAGTGAGTTAGAGAAGGGTCTGACTTCCCTCTCAGTGGAGTGAAAGGAGAGTTGCATTTGGCGTATATGCAGTTAGGAAGTGGAAAGATCAACAGGTAGACTGGGCTGGACCTGGCAGCCTTCTCGTGCTCTGCAAACGTTTTGTAATACGAAACACAGGGCCGTGCTGGGGGCAGTGCACCAAAATTGTGCCTGTCCTCCCATCTCACTCAGTGTGCCCTGGGATCCAGGACCTGCCTTGTCGGGATTGTCTGACAGCTTCTGGAGCCCAACATGACTGCCAGCTATGCAGATAAGGAAGGAAGGAAACAAGGATGGTGCAAGGAGCAGCTCTGTGCTCTCCTGTTTGCTGGTCCTGGGGCTGAGGCTTGCAGGGCTGATGGCCAGCATATTATAGTTGGAGTACACACGTATGAAACCTGCTGGCTGCCAACAGCTTTTGAGATAAAGTTGGGGAAAACAAAGTTTTCTGTTAGCAATGGAGCATGGAGATGGATGAGCCATATCTTTCCATTTTGATAGAGCCCTCTTGGTGTGATTGGGCTGCGACTGTCCCAAGCCACTTGGTCTGTAGACAGAATGCACAGGATTGAGCCACACAGTCCTGCACAGGAGAATTTGGTCCTTCATTGTTTTATGAACTTCGAGGACAGTCATTTGAAATACGAAGTAGTACAGTACCAGCTTGCCACCACCTTTGCTCATTAATGCATATTAATATGTATTTTAATATATATCAGAAAACAACATTTAAAAGTCAAATTCATGGCAGAAAGTGCACTGAAAATGGGGCTCTGCCATTTCTTTCCTCCAGAGAAAGCAATGTGGTTGTCTGCTGGTGGCCAGATCCTGCCCAGTCGCAACACTAATTGCAAAGCATTATTACTGACTGCAGTACATCACTGCAAACAAGATCAGTGTCTGCTGCACAGCAAGTACCATTCATTAATGTGGACTCTTGGTGACTAAATATGTAATTACCTCTAGTATTACCTTAGAAATTGGTCATTTTGCATAAATATCTAATTAAGCAGGTTATCTTTATAAGTATACACATATATAATCTATCTAAGACTTCAACACCTTCTTTTTATACTTGCTGGTAAATGTAAACTGTTGGCAGGTGTCTGTTTTCATGTGAAATGTGTTCCTCCTCATTTGATCTGCTGAGGAGTTCACGGTTTGGCTGAGTGCTAATCAACAGATGATTTGATGCTTCCTCTAACTATTGACAAGTATATAATTTGGACTTGTATAAAATATTTATGAGTCACCTTTTAAAACATTTCTGTGGCTAGGTAAAAATGGCAACTTTGTCAGAATTGGCAATACTCCATCTTTTTTTAATTATTATTAAGAATTGAGTATGTTTTTCCAGAAGAAAAAAAAAGTCATCTCCTCAACCCTGTTGTCTCTCCTTACAGTGAGTCATGCCAAAACTGGGCGGTAATTGCACTGTATTACAAGCTCTCTCACTTGCCAGACATGAGGTGGTTGGGTTTTGCTTGTTTCCTTTCTTTACTAAGCCATTTTGGGGTGAGAAGTCATAGAATCTCTTTCTGTTTTTCTCACTCTATCAGTATTGCCAAATTAATGGTTCTCCAGAACAGGTGGGGACTAGAGGAATCCTGGTAGGTCAGCAAGCATTTAGTGGCAAGTTTCATACGGATGTGTGTTGTAAGGGTCACTCAGACTTCACCAGGAGTTTCCTTGGAATATACCCTCTGCAGGGAGAAGCTCTTGCAGTCCAGATGCCACAAGCAGATTTCATGGGAGTCTGCAGGGAGTTGAAATCTGTTGGCCATGTTTGCATGCTGCAAGCAGTTGGATGTTCTCATGAAAAATCATTTTGATGCAGATTTTTTCTGCATTTAGAGATTTGGGCACGGTTCTTGAACAGCTTTAATACAACATCCCGTAGCTGTTTCTGAAGGCAATTTGACGCTGAACTTCTGGTAAAACCAGCAGTAGTTCTGTCAGGATCACCAGAGCTTTGCGGAGGGATGAGACATGCTGTTCAGGACCACAGAACTAGCCTGTGGCTATATTCTTACTGGTAATTCAAGTGATGTCCAGGCTGACTCCTATCTTACCTTAAAATGGGAGAAAAGAATCCCAAAGGAGGTGCATCAGCTTCCAGCGTTCAACTGAATTACCGTCTACCTTTGCAAAAGATACGAGGAAACCCGGTGGGCTGTGTTCTTTACCAGAGTGGGGTAGAGGGGTGTCAACATACTTGAACGTACTAAATCCTAAGTTGTATGCCAAATGGCACCATGGATAAAATGGCCATTTTCTCAGTAGCCAAATCATCGAGATGCTAATTTTTCTGGAATTATTTCTGTATCTAAACATGTAGATAGGCACAGTCTGGGATTTTCTAGAACCTCAGGGTGTCTCGTCTCCTTTGTAGTCAGTGGAGCTACAGACATCGAAGTGCTCTTGAAAATCTATACTGTTTTATTATTACCATTTTTCCTTTGATCTGGCCCAAGTAGTTTTTTAAAACATTGCTTTCCTGTGCTCCACGATTAAAGTATAGAGAGAATGCATTTACTTCCAGATGCAATGCAATTTACTTCACTTCATGGAGAATGCAGACGTTCCTTCGAGTATGCCACTGCTGCTTGAACAGCTCTTGGGCATGCTTTACAGGAAATGTTTTGAAAACTTTTTCTTGACTTTGCCACCAAAAGAGCATTGGAACCATACATCCTCTTGATTGTAACAGAATATCAGTGTTGACTGTCTGACCAGTTAAGTTTTAGTAGTGTTCTTCACAGCCCTCCAGTAATATATCAAACACTGTTATGCACATAATGCAGCACTGTGATCTAATTTAAATAATACTTTTTTATTATTTATACTACTCTATGTAATATACATCAACACTTTGCTATATAACCTAAGCGATAACCCTCTTCTTAGTTATCTGCCAAACTTTGAATTTCTGTTTGGTTTGTATTGCATTTAGCACAGTTACCAAGTCGTAATGATGTCTCTTTTCCTTTGAAATGGAATGTGTAAGTCAAACTATACGTTTGTGTGTTTCTGTTTTAAGCTGGAGTTTATAAGGATTTACACACAACATTCGGTGTTCTGTATAAATCTGCATACATTTGTGAATTCATCTGCTAATCCCCGTTTATTTAGAAAGTATTAATTAATGGTGGTTTATTAGGGTTTTTGTTTTTGTTTTTGTTTTTGGTTTTTTTTGCATTTTTACTTCTAGTACTGGTTATTCTTGAATTAAGCAGAGACTTGTCAGCTGGGTTGCTTTATCATGTACATGACCTTACAATTCTTCCACAGTTCAGCCAACAAGTACTAGCTTCACTGACCAAAAAAAGTCTCAACCTAATGTGTCTATGGTGCTGTATTTTGCTGGTGTACTTTTAAAACCAGAAATGATCTAGAGGTCACTTTGAGTTGTTCTAATAAGTAGCCTTTCCTAGTTTGGGGAGCTTGGGTTTTGTTTTTGTTTTAGCATTGAAACAAGAAGTATTTATCTGAAGCTATATCATGGTTTTTCTACTGTATCACGTTTCCTTTTGCAAAAAGGGGAAACGGGCCTGATGGAACAGCCTCTCACAGACAGTGGAAGGCGTTTCTGTTTCAGTTTTTCTTTTTTGCTTCATTTCATTGGCCGTTGGATCAGGCCAGCAGTCCAAGAGTTCATTATGTGAGGGTTTAAGGGATAACTGCAACTTGTGCTAGAATTATGTGATGCATTCTGCAACGGTCATCATCTGGAAATGGGAATCTCTTTACTCTGGCCTAAAATCCCAAGACTTTTTTTTTCTTTCAGATTAACCATTGAACTTCAGTACATTTTTAAGTTAACAGAGCATTGTACATTTCTGAGTATGTGTGTGGGATGACAATTGAAAGTAATACCTGTACCTGATAACCAGTTCCATGCCTGCATCATTCACACTCACTACTTAAAACTGCCATGATGTAAAATGTCGG